CTTAGATACAGTCATTATGCAAATCAGAGTGCTGGGGCCCCTTACGAAAACGACTTACAGGGATGAAATGTGAAGGTTCGATACAATTAAACATATTTCACAGATCAGGGCCCTTATCCTTGTGAGGCCCCCGGGAAAGTGCCCACTAGACACATGAGTTAACATGGTCCTAAATGGCCCAAAAGCGCCCCACCCCTTCCACAAAGTCTATACAGCTTAGATATAATCATAGTTCCCAAAGAATACAAGCTTACTATAAATAGCTGGCGGGTTTTCCGAGCACAGATTTTCCCGTTGGATCACAAACACTTTAAACAACGTATTTTCAGCTTGAAATATTTTAACGGGTTGCCATAACCGTCGCACAAACGCAGTTTCTGTTATTTCATAACAAAAGCTGATGTTATGACTCAGGAGTGTATGTGTGTCGTACTTTTATTCTGTGCGCTTATTCTCTCGGCACAAGCTCGCGGGTGGTCAGTCTCTCTCAAATGAAGTCGAAAGATGTTAGTGCTGATTGTCACAGTGGTTACCTTTTGTTCACAGAATTGTTTAGTCAGTTCGCTCGCCGACATCCAGCAGATCCACCAAGAGATGTGTTAATAACCATCGAACAGTCTCTCTTTTTCTTCTTCTTCTTCTTTTTCTTCTTCTTTTTCTTCTTCTTCTTCTTCTTCTTCTTCTTCTTCTTCTTCTTCTTCTTCTTCTTCTTCTTCTTCTTCTTCTTCTTCTTCTTCTTCTTCTTCTTCTTCTTCTTCTTCTTCTTCTTCTTTTTCTTCATATTGTTATTATTATTATTATTATTATTATTAATATTATTATTATTATTATTATTATTATTATTATTATTCGTCTTCTGTTATCTCTTACCCTCCAAAATGCGACATCAAAGTAAATGAGACACACCTGGAGCAAGCTGAAATGTTGAAGTACTTGGGTACCAGGATAACATCCATGGAAGATGTGTTAAAGAAGTTAAATGTAGAATAGCTGAAGGAAGCATTTCACAAAATTATGAATGTTTTAAACAATGTTTCTTTGTCAGTTAAGAGGAGAAAGTAAATTCTCAAAACAGCTTTATAAATCATATCTCGATATACGGAAGTTAATCATAGTTAGTTAGTCTTTCCTCTTGTGTCCAGTGCGGCACATAGGGCAGAGGTCATGACTCTCCATGCATGGCGGTTCGTTGCAATCTGTTGTAGGTCTTGGATGTTTGAGTGGCCCATGAGCGAACCTTCCCTGATGATAGTTCTACGTAGAGTTTCCCTTGGTCTTCCACGAGATCTTTTCCCCTGTGGTGTCCAAATGATGGCTTGGTAAGGAAGTCTTGATTTATCCATTCTAAGGGCGTGGCCGACATAGTTCCAGCGGCGTTTTCGTATAAAATTAGACACATACTCTTGCCTGGATTCTTGCCTTATTTGTGTATTGGTTCGGAAATCTGACCATTTGAAATTTAGTATTCTTCTAAGGCATTTATTTTCAAAACTGTCTAATTTAGTGTCTAGAGTTTTCGTTGATTTCCAGCTCTCGCATCCATAGGTTAGTACTGGAATCACACAAGAATTGAAGATCTTGAGTTTTGTGTGTTTGCTAAGTGTCTTTGATTTCCAGATGTTGGACAGTTTATTGAAGGCACTAGATGCCAGTGCTATTCTAAATGGTATTTCTGGTGCGGTATCTCCTGTAGATGACATTTTGCTCCCTAGATAAGTGAAACTGTTGACTTTTTCAAGGCTGTTGTTGTTCAGCATGATATCAACTGAACTGTTGGTAAGGTCTAGAATTTTTGTTTTTGCGGTGTTAATTTGGAGTCCAATTTGTTCTGAGAAATTCTGGAGTCGATTGATTTTTTCTTGGGCGTCTGTGTGTTCTGAACTCAGGAGTGCTATGTCGTCGGCGAAGTCTAGGTCTTCCAGCATTTTGTCAACCCATGTAATGCCTAAATTTGCGTTATTTATGCACTTGCACATGGCCCAGTCGATTGCTATACCAAAAAGCATCGGCGATAGGACACAGCCTTGCTTCACTCCTGTTTCCACCGGGAACCAGTCAGAATTGCCGGAATCAGTTAACCATTGTCTGTTAGTAAATTAGTGAAAACTTTTCTGGAAACTCTGGAGATGTGGTTTTATAGACGAATGAAGAGAATATCCTATCCAGGTTAAAAAACAGCGACGAAGATGAAAGAAACTGACTCAGTAATCAGGAGAATGGCGGATCAGTTCTTGGTCATCCAGTGTATGTTGCCACGCCATCAAGGTATCTTTTTGTCAAATCCCTTTTCAGTCAGTCTTACCTGCCGTCGACAAGTTCTTCAATATATTCCCTGTCTTGAAACACCTTTTGGAATCCAACAGGGGTGTCGGATGGGGATGAGCATAGGTATACCTGCTTCTCCAGCGCCGCTCCTATGTCACTTGAATGTGACAGGTTCGATTCCCGGTATGGTAACTAGAGCTTCGATATTTATGTTGTCTAGTGTGTCCTCTTATCTCTCTACCTCTTTCTACAAGTGCCTTCCATTCTGAGTCTGTGATAGCCTGTTATTTAGTTAAACTGGATTACTGAGAGGCTGTACAGTTCAAAAAATTGTTTCCCCAAAGTTCTGACGCCGCCACTGAACGTGTCTCTCTGTGGCCATTAGTGTGTATTTTGTAAGGAAGCTTCACCAATTTTCTTGCGTGCGTGTGTGTGTGTGCGTGCGCGCACGTCTCTCCGTGTGTGTGTGTGTGGGGGGGGGGGGAGGCGCTTGTTTGTGGAAACTGTAACTTTATCTGTGTCTAAACTATTGGACGAATACTGACTTCTGAGTCAATAAATAAATAAAGTGAAAGAACCCTTTTGTGTGAGGCATGCTCTTGTTTATGAAGATGATTCCAATGACCTCCAGAACTGTACTAGAAACGTCTGGACAGCTAACGCATAGTCCTGATAGGAGGTTTCATATGAATTTATAGTTCAGCGAATGGTTTGCGAATCTTCAAGTCAGCAATTTTCTCAGTGTATATTATAAAGGTGCCTCTCATTGATTCGCCTGAATCGTAAGTCCATATTTTGTATCAGATAACGATTTCACAAGTTCATTTTCGCTATTTCAGCTCAGAAGATCGAGGCGTATTTTATAATGCGCCTATGTCCTACAGATTGTACTTAATATTTTAAATAGTTCCCCAATATGTTCCGCACAGTTTTTGTTGTCATTATAGCGAGTCGTTATGTAGTGTTTGATTGAGATTTCTTTTCATCTTCTGAGTTTGGCTTCCGGATGAGCCTAATGTTTAGTGCGACCCCTAACCCAAATCTTGGCCTATCTGAGATCCTAGAGGTTGATCCCCTAATATTATGAATGAGATCCCTGTATGGGTTCCGGTGCCCCATTATGGGGGGCAGGGGGGCAGGGGGAGGCGACAAGAACACACCCATTGCCTGTTTAAAAGCGTGTCGTAAGAGTCGACTAATTGGGATCTTCCTTTGAAGTCAGAGTACATCTGCCTGATAGGCAAGAAACCAGCAGTCTGCATACAATGAGACACACCTAGGAAACAGATGTGCACGCAGCACTCAAGTTCTGGAACATGACGTGGGTCCAGAAAGGGACGAACAACTAGAACTGTCTGCTGGAGTTTCCAGCCAGTTAACGCGAAGAAGGAAAATAATGATGTCGGTTGATCTTCTGAAATTATAAATATTCTTTCTCTGTGTGGACGATAGAAAACTTATTGTTGTTGTGAGCTGAATTAGTTTTCAGTAACTTAATCACTAGTCGGCTAACTGTCCATGATTCACTTCTATATATCAGGATTGGAGCTGTACAGTTCTTTAAAAAAAGTGTACAGTTAACATCTCCTACCAATTACCCTTTGTGGGTTGAAAAATATTATTGGTTTTCTTTACAGATAAACATTCGCAACACCCCCCCCCCCCCCCCCCCTTCCCCCTTTTTCCCTGAAAAAATGTTTCCGAATTAACATATTTTAATTGCCCAAAAATAATAACACTTACTACTATTACTATTATTATTGCGCAGTTAAACAAGGATTAGGCGCTTTGCGGCCCCGCTTCGACTCTCAGGTTCTGAGTCTTAGCTCCCTTTGCAAGATGAATGCCCATATTCATGACCTTATGTTGTCATCACCCTATTACTGGGTTGTAACTCACTGTCGTGCATAAAATATGTACTGGAGGGGAAAAGTTGCCAGCAAGAGGTAGACAGCGTTACAATGGGCCATTTGCCCCTTAAGGAATCATTTTTGTCAGCGCTACCCTAATAAACCCTTTGTGGTGAGTACAGGCACCCTTTTAACTCTTTGTGAGTTGTACCGACACCTTTTCTCCTACAAAAAAAAAAAAAAAGTCATGTGTATATCGTGGTAATCCACTAAAACCAACTTTTCTTCTGGAGATGGCACATGATCCAACTGTGAGCTACTGTTGAGAAAGTTTCGTGGAATTGTTTGCAATTGCTGAGACAGACAGAATAACCCGTGCACAACTTTCTGTTCTGTTCTTGTTTTCGTCATCGCCTTTACTTATTGCCACTGATACAGTTATCAACATTTGATGCAATCATTTTTTTTTTTCTGACATTTTTAAAACATAGTTGCATTTACTGAAATATTTCATGTGAAACGACATGAAATAACCTTGATAAGTGAAAGATTACGTCAGGCTGGTGACGCGGGCGGCAGAAATAGTCCTCGCAGTCAATGTAAGATTTCATCAGCGAGAGAAATCCCGAAGTCAGGGAGTGATCAGCTCCTACATATTCATGAGGCAGCTCTCCAAGGTTGGCTGCTGGCGTCTCCATTGGCTGGCTCGCCGGTGTTTAAGTTCACATCGACCAGGCCAGGCCCCAGCTGAGCTGTATTGTGAACTCTGTCAGCCGGCTAGCGTGTGCCACCGGGGCTCGTTCAGTTCACGTTGTATTTCTCTGGGAAACGGACGTATTTTCTTCATCTACTTGTGCTTGATTGTTAGTTTGTGTACATTTAAACATGGTTCGTGTGATCAGTCAGAACTTTAGCCCTCCTAGAAGCCGACACAGTTCTGGAGAGACAGACAGAGACCTGGCAGAGAGAGCGAGCCTGGCCCTGTCAGTTCAAGGAAGAAAACGGGTTGAAACACCTGAATTTGAATCTTCCAGCGATTCGTATTGGGATTCTGAATTAGACGGTGATCAGTGTGATGTGGCTGGATGTGAACTTGCTGGGGCAGCGAACGACATCAACGGGAACGAAGCTGTGGAAAAGTCGGTGAGTATAGGCTGACCTAGTTGTGGCACTCAGCTGCTGGCTGATCAGCTGTCCAGGGCCTGATCACTTGCATGCGATACTGCGTCATACTCCCGTCCCCGGTAAACAAGTCTCTTCTGCCCCCTGATGCAATCTCCCTCTCCGCCAGGTCTTGTGGAATACTTCTGCACTCACATCGTAAATACTTAAGTCAAACTTACAGGTGTTGCTTTTAGCGGAATGTAATGGATAAATTTGCAATTCTGACCAGTTTGTGGTTTCATAACTGTTGGGCTGGCAGCTGATCGAGGTCACCAGGGGAGGCCAGCCGCCCTCAGCTGATCGCAGACACGCCCACAAATTACAGCCCCTGTCTGCATCCAGCTTTGTTCTTCTCCTCTCTGATACCTTTAACTTCTTTACTTTTACTGATCTAGGTTTATTCTCATTGACATAATTGCTTAAGACGTCAGCCTTTGTTCGTTGACCCACCAGAGGCCGCGATTCAGACCGTGACCTTCGACCTTGAATAAATTAACTGACTTAAAAACTCCCTCCTGTTGTGTCGCCCTCCCCCCTTTGTTCGTGTCTCCACTAGCCTCGAAAACATCATAAAAACCTGTATACCGTTAGTCATCTCCCGCCAATGTCCTGTCGCAGCCTCCGACTATGCACGTCGCTGTTTGAGCAATCCAACAAAAGATATTGAATACAGAATATGTCTGCTTGAAGAATATGCTCTGTATGTTGAGTAAGGAGATAGATCCCACCCTTGGGGGGAGACGTATAGTCATTGCTTGGACTTCCCAGGGAACGGGTGGAGACAGCTGTGCGCATATTTGAGGTGTGGCTCAAACAGAAGGGCCTAATTCACTTTGTGTGCATATGTATCCCAGTTATAACCCGGATGAGTTGTACTAGTACTACTGGCAATTGCCAAGTTGGTAACAAACATAAAAAGTCTGTGCAGATTTCTTTCCCAGTAAAAACTGACTCAGACATTAAAGGACCCCATAAGTATTCGACACTTATGACCCGCTTGTTAGTGAGACTATTCTTATTTCACCCACAGTAGGGCCCTGGAACCCACATGGGAAATTGCTATATTGAATCCTGTATCCGACTATATCTTTTTCAATCTCTCAGTGAGAAACCTCTAGGGGCGTTCATTATAAGCAGGAAAATAAAGAGTTAATGTCAAATCTGTGGCATGTGTTTGTTAACTCTTCAAGGGGTCCAGCATTTATGACTGAAGGGAAGCCACTGATCATGGCTGGCAGTCTCTATACAACTTTGTTTCATTTTGTCCTGATTCTAAATTGTGTTTTCTTGATAACCACAAAGGATACACAGTTTTTTTGCTTTGTTATTTGTTATTTACAGCAAAGCAATAGTTAGCTTTGCAAACATAGCAGTACTTAACCCCCCCCCCCTTTTCCCCCCTCCCCACTTTGGTCATTTAAACAATGAAGACACAGACCAACAGACTGAATGATTAATTGCCTGGCATATGTATCTTATCAGCGACATAGACATACTGCAGTAACAGAATTTAAAAATTGAATCAGTATAAGGAATCATAAGTAAATTTTAAATGAAATACAAATATCCACCAAACTCAAAAGTAAGTGCCTGTGTACCATGTTCAGATATGACTGACTGACTTTCTACCCCACCAGGACATCATACAAGCGATAAACACCCGATGACACAAAGTGCCACCATGTGGATGAGGATCACCGTGGAGAGGTCCCAGAAACCGCGTACAGACAATTGGCCATTTTTATGGCCTGCCTATATTGCGGCCCCTGGCAAAAGCCAGGGTGGGACTTCAAATTAAAAAAAATTTCGTCCTGAAAAGGACGTAAGCTTAGATATATGTTCAGATATCAAACCGAACGAAAAGTATATCAGCGAGCTTCACAACAAAACAAATACAAAAAAAACGTGAATGTTGCATGTATAGAGCCACATCAGCACGTGCATAAATTAGACAGTACTACACAACATCATGTATCTTCATATTCGAAGCATCCAGGTCGATGTCTAGCCAGTTTACAAAACAAGAGTCTGTAAAAGCAAGTTGAAGCAACCTATGCATATTCAATGTGTAAAGAATTTGGAATGTCCTCATTCCGAGTCAAAAGTTGTCATGCGATTGATAAGGTGGGATGTTTTTTACCAAGCCAAAAAATGTATATAATTTTTATATATTTAAATACTAAAATTTACAACTCATAGAGGAATATGTGCTCAGCTCTCATTATATTAATTACTTATCTGTTCTCCCGTTATGTGCAGCAACATTGAAATTGGTAAATACAATTTGATTTGGCTAACAGTGGCATTCAAGAAACCTTTATATTCTTAGCATTAATAGAAATGGAAACCTCAAAGAGAAAGACAAATTACAGTAGCACTAAATGCTAGAAAAGAAGATGTTTTTAACAGTTAATGGGATAACTGGCCAGAACAGAAGAATTTGTCGTTAAGTAATCGTCAGTGTCCTTGTTTCAGCAAAATCATCATGGTTGTTTTGTTGTTGTTTTGTCAACAGCAAGATGTCCATAGCAAGAGAAAGGAACGGCGCCGGGAGCGAAACAAGTTATCTGCACAAGCCTACAGACAGCGCAGGCGCAGCGAACATGTCAAAGCTCAACAGGTATGTAACCTCAACTATAACAGAATAGGTCATACTCTGAACCTGTTGTGTTTTTTGGCTCTTTCTTGCACATAGATGCCTTCATAGGTTCTCAGTCTCCTCCTGTTGATTACACAATGAATTTCATTACAATGCACACAATTAATAGACCTCACTAGGTGAACATGATCTTAAATGGTGTGGCAAGTTTTGTATTATTACTTTGGATTAAATTCCTGCTGAGGCCCATAAATTATACAATTAAATTTACGGTCATAGAAGGACATGCAGATAGGCTGGCCAGCTCTGGTTCCTGGCCAGCTCTGGTTCCTGGCCAGTTCTGGTTCCTGGCCAGTTCTGGTTCCTGGCTATTTCTGGTTCCTGGCTATTTCTGGTTTCTGGCTAGTTCTGGTTCCTGGCTAGTTTTGGTTCCTGACCAGTTCTGGTTCCTGGCCAGTTCTGGTTCCTGGCTAGTTCTGGTTCCTAGCTAGTTCTGGTTCCTGGCCAGCTCTGGTTCCTGGCTAGTTCTGGTTCCTGGTTAGTTCTGGTTCCTGGCCAGCTCTGGTTCCTGGCCAGCTCTGGTTCCTGGCCAGCTCTGGTTCCTGGCCAGCTCTGGTTCCTGGCCAGTTCTGGTTCCTGGCCAGTTCTGGTTCCTGGCCAGTTCTGGTTCCTGGCCAGTTCTGCTTCCTGGCCAGCTCTGCTTCCTGGCCAGCTCTGGTTCCTGGCTAGTTCTGGTTCCTGGACCCTATTGTGAGGGAGGAAACAAAGAATAGACTCACTTCTTTCTAACATGCATGTAATAAAAGTCCACTAGTTAGGGATGTTTCCTTCGAAGTCACGAATGCATCTGCCTAAGAGTCAAAGAACCAACGGTCTGTATACAGATAGGCAGGATCTCGTAAAATGGATGTGTATGTAAAACTCAAGTTCTAGAACAAAACTAGGGTCCAAAAGTGTGTCAGTAACCAGAACATTTTGCCAGAGTTTACAGCTGGTGAATGCAAAGAAGAAAATGAAGTATCAAATATAGAACAGAAAAATCGATCAATTGATTGGATAAAATGTCTGATCTATTGGTCTGTCCCCTCCAGGATGCTGTCTCAAAGTTTACCACCTTGAGATCAAAAATAAAATACAGGATGGATGATTCACCAATTGGTCAGATTCCAGATACCTCGTTCAACCTCCAGCCTGGTTTAACCTGCAGGCCCGTACAGGAAAGGATTGTGGATGTCAGAGTCAACAGAATCGTGCATGATTTGTGCAACACGTTGTAATCCATGCAGGTAGCAAAACTATAAATATAGGCTGATTCCAAGTTAAAGGAAAGTATGAATTAACAGGCAGAAAAATAAGAAAAGAATATGATAACAGATTATGTTTGTATGTACAGAATAATCACATAATTGAATATCCTGTGTTCTGTTATTTATCTGCCCTTGCGTTATTAAACTTTGCCAGTTATTGTCAAGTTTGTTGTCATGTTGCAAGCTTATCTGAGCTAACACAAACAACAAAAACTTTATCAAACCTCTGTGACCTGCTGTTGTATCCAGTAGGGTCATGACCCCATCTATCCAAGCTGATGAAATGCTTCTGATAGTGTCTGAACTCTTCTAGTCCCAAGTACTAGTAGTTTAATGGTCTTGCACGATGCAGCTGTTTAGAATCAACAGGAAGAATCATTAGGATAAATTCTGTGGTGTACATATTCACATACAAACAAATATTACAGCCAAGTACGTTTACATTTAAACTCTATTGGTCACTCCTAGCCATCTTTCAGTGTGTTCCCATACTTTCTATGTTTGGTCAAAGTATTCTGAAGAAATCTGGCTGCATCTGTGATCATTTCCATAGGTTATTTAGCAGTTTAGAAACACATTTCTTTGTTACCTACCTGGCAATAAGAAACTACAGCCCATCCCACTGTTTCATTCCTGGCAATAAGAATCTGAGAGATTATTTCACGGAAATGAAAGATTAGCTCAGCCTTTTTTTTTTTGTGGACTTGTTTTTAGTGTCCTTCATTTTAACATTAATATTATATACAAAATGCTTTGCAGACTGTTATACTGAAATTGTTTTAGTATTTATCATTTCTTTTGTTAATTGATGTCTGATTATATTGCAGACATTAATGGAACTTGAAGCAAAGAACAAGGAGTTGCACACAATTGTGGAGACATTGGAGAAGGAGACTGAGCGTGTGAAACACTTGCTCCGGGGACCTTCTTTTCCTACTGTTGATGTTCTTCAGCCAATCAGAGAACTTGAAGGAGCAACTGCCGACATATCGGACATAGATACAGTCCAGAATAATCCCCAGTCGGTGATTCCTAGCAGGTCGCACATGCACACATCATGTTCCAGCCTTGGTGCGACCGGTTTCCTTCATTCAGATCCAAACCCTGCCCTTCAGCTTCCCAGCTTTTCCAAGAAGCCACCACATCCTCCTGTCATTAAAGACCCCCGCCAGCAGATGCCTATGATGATGACAAACACTGCACCAGATTTTTCCGGTCCCACATCCAGTAGGCCAAACCCAGCAATGTGTCCACCACTGGCTGCAAATTTTCTTTTCAACACAAATATTTTGATTGATGCCACAGCCTGCACACCAGGTTCCATCACTCCAACAGCTATCCCTGCTCTCCTAGTGCCTGTTGAGAACCACAGTCAGGCCTACCCTAGTTCCAATCTCAACTGCAACCTCTTGCGAACATACTCCCCAGGGAACCACTCCACAGTTGATGCTGCTAGCCAAGAAAGTAAACCCAGTTGTACACACCCACCAGCTGACCCATACCCAGTTATTAATGCTGTTTGGTGGAACAGAACCCAGATAAAACCCACTCTTGGCCCCGTGCCTGGAACCCTGGTGGGTCTAGTTAACATGGGACTGTGCAATAGTAACAACGTGAACAGCAGCAGGGTTGAAAGTGATGACACAAACGGAAATAATAACTGTGATAACAACATCAACATTCAAAACCATCTTACATCTCAGCCTGTGTCTTTCAATCTCAACCAAGCCCAGGCTGTAGATCCAACTAGCCAGGAAGCAATTTGTCAGAACCAATTTAGTCTTAAATATCCAGTAGTACCTGTCCAGTATTTTCTGGCACCTAGTGACCAGATTTCTGTCCAGTAAAAGCCATATCCTGATTATATTTAGGTCCATATTTGGATGCTAACACTTGTTAATCTTTTTTTTTTCTCATGAATATCTACAGCTTGTTTGTACAACATTGCAGTTGTAATACTTTATACATTTATTTATGTTCTTGAATTTGTATGCTTCATAATATTAGCATATTCCATGAGTTTACAGATTAAAAGTAAAATTAAAAAAAAAACAGCTACAGGGGTTAAAAATGTGGTTATAATGATAATTCTTTATTAGAGTTGAATTTTAACTGTTTCTTTATGTGTATTTTTTGCTTCTTTGTTGATTACTTAATTTTTTAGCAATATTTCAGCTTGGATTTACATTTGTTATAGTTGACCAAGCTAATAACACTCATTGTCGTAATATGTACTGGATTGTTATGCAAAAAATTTACTGTGAATAATGAGGAAACAATTAGCTGGAAAGACGTGAAAGTTAACTTTGCAAGAATATAATCACAAAGAACAAAGTAGACACTGCATTTGCAACACCTTCATCAGTAACCAAACACAAGGATATGCTGACAAAACTGAGAAGCTGATGAAACTACATATACAGTATGTATCGAAACAGTTATTTATCTGATATCTGGCAGCAGTTAGACCTGATTAGGTTTAATTCCAAATATTGTCATGTGATGCAATTGATTCAATTCAATTTAGTCGAAGAGGGGGGGGGGGGGGGGGGGGAGAGAAAGCTTGTACTTTTCACCTCTCTCCATATTGTAATTATTTTGCAGAGTCCCAGTATTCACAAAATTACACCCAACATCATCATTAATTATCATGTCTTTTACAGAACGTTGCTCTCTTGATACGCCTGAAAGTATCCCTTTCCCAGGCCACCCCACCAGCCCCATGTGCTTTCTATGCCAATGCATCTTCAATGCCTTGTATCCATCTTCACGGATGATAACCACTGCCTCGCTTTCCACAAACCGCACCCTTCAACACCGTCTTTTCCAAGCCACCAGACGCTTGATGTGGCCAAATACTTCAACTTTCGGGACAGGATGCTGTTTATGAGGCAGTTCTCCTCAACTCGTGCAGAATGTCGATATTGTCCCTTTTCTTGATCCATGGTATTCTAAGCATTTTTCTGTAACATTTCAATTCAAATGCTCTAATCTTTTTCCTCAGTGACTAAGTGAGAGTCCAGGACTCACAACCATAAGTTGTCACAGGAAAAATGCATGATCTCAAGATTTTTTAACTTTAACTTACATGTGCTTTGCCAAAGGTTCTTCATGCTGTTTTATCTCTGCATTGCTAATACAAGTCTTCTTCTGACTTCTTTCGAGTAGTCACTGTTGTTCACTGAAGACCCCAAGTATTCCAAATCTGTGAAATTTTCAATTTATTAATTTTTGATGGTGATATGTGGTTGGTGTGCTGAATTTACTGAAGACATATTTTTTTAAATCCAGAAAAAGATTCACTTCTTCACTGTGTTTTTTGACGACCAGAATTAATTTTTCTAAACCTGATACACTATTACACCCCACTAATTTATTTAGTCAATTACTGTTAACTAATACTTTCAGGAGTGCCAATTGTTATTACTGCAAATCTGAGAACTGTACAGCTAAGTCTTTACACTGGAACCCACAGGGCAGAGCAAAAAACACATAGAGAAGGGAAGTGAGAATTAAGTTAAAAATATGGGGAGGACATGGGTTGAGTTGCATGTGATATCAAATAATAGGACGACTTGCGTGAGTTGATTGGGGGCCTATGCTCCACTGGGATGAAGAAGGCAGAATACAAAATTGTTGTTACTACTCTCTATGTAAAATTACAAACAAAGGTGTCATATGTTTTCAACAATGCAGTAGCTTACAATTCTCATATAAGTACCATAGCTAATTGATTGCTTTGTAGAATATGATACCCATAATCCTGGCATAATTGGCTTCATCTAATCATTGAGTCAGTATTACATAAACCAAATATAACAATATCATACTCCACACTAATACTTCAAATGTAACATATCTGGCAGAATTTTTGTTCAAGTGCCAGTTAGGCCGAAATTATACTGTTTTATAAATATTTTTTTTATTATTTCTGACATTACTTACTTGTAATAAATTCCTGACATGCTGTTTCACATCTTTTTACATTAATTCATTAATCATTAAATAATTGATTCGTGTGCGGTACAATAAAGCTCTGGTGAAATAATAAAAAAGATCACTCTGTCATGCCGTCTGCTTTTGAACAAATTTTCTAGTTCATTCTGTAGCCAGCAAGTCATCACATCTTTATGATATAATTTTCTACTCCTTACCATAAATTAACTATATTACAGTTTTTACATAAACTGATGGTTGACCTTCCAGAGATGTGTTTATAATTTCAGCTGTAGTTTGTCTGTTTTTAAGCAAATTTTGGGGGTTTAATTAAAATATATAAATTAGTTTCATTTTAACTGCATTTTGCTTTACATTGTTGGTACTACTGGCGATGAAACATTTTATATCACAGTTTTCTCAATTGAATACTTTCTGTGATAAGTAGTTTTAAAAAATTGAAGTCCCTCTTTTTGCCCGTGGTACCACTGCCTTTGTTTAAAGATGTTAAAATAACAACACTTTGGGACAGAAAGAATTACACCAACAAATGGGATAAAGTGTTTTATCTGTGACAGAAGAAAGGAAAGTCTTTGGAATCGTCAGTCAGCGTGTGGAGTTGTTTAGCTGAGTTCACTTTGTTTTCCAAACCTTTCCTATAATCTCAGGATCTGTTTCAACAAAAAGAACAGACTTTATAAGGGTGACTATGAGCGAAATGACTATGACACAAATACACACTGTCAAGCAAATATTTTATCTTAGATTTACTGAAATATGTTTTCTGTATTGCATCATTTCCTAACCCTGGTTTAGAAGAGCAAGGTGACTGGGTGAGAACTTTAAAATAGCAACATTTGTAAGCATTCTGAGGCAGACATCAGCAATTGGGTCAGCCATTGGCCACGTATCATGTGGAGAGATCAGTGCTCTTGCATCATGCAACTTATCTTAAGCTTGCATCAGACATATCAATGGTCGGTTACTCAGTTAATGTCAGACTCCAGTTCAATACTTCAAATCTGTTTTTTAATTTTCCTAACTTTGTGCAAAAAGACAATATTTCAGCTCACACTACTAAAAATCACAATTTTTTTTGTCTGGTCTTTAAAAAAAAAACATACAGAAGCAATAGGAAGAACTTATCTCTCTATCTTTTGTTTCTTACTATAGATTCCATTCCATCATTATTAACTCTTTGTCTCCTTTATGCTGTCTTAGTTCACTATTAATAAAATTAAGTTATTTCCTGCTTGAAAAGAAATCAATGCAACTTTTCAGGCTTTTTTTTTATATTGTGAAACAAAATTTAGAAATAAAATGTACTACGTGTATTTCTGATTTTCATATAATCTTTCTGAAGGTCTGACTGGTTTAGAACAATGACAGGCAAAAGAGAATTAGACGTCTCATTCCAACAGTCCAGTTGTAAAATAGATTCAAGAATATAAATGGTTCATAATACAGTTTTTTTTAAAAACGATACATATCCATTTTTTTTCCTGATTGTGAATTTTAAAAATGTGTGAAAAGACTAGAGAAACAAACAAAATTCTGTTGCTTGAATTTATGTTGGACATTCTGATCCTAGTTTGAGCCCAGAAGGGGTTGAATTAGAAATGTTTCTGTTAAATGTGACTGAATTTGCTTGATGGTTAGGACCACACACACACACACACACACATACACACAAGTAACCAAGTATATCAGATTGTAAGAATTTGACAGTATTCTGTCATTAATAGCCAGGTCACTGCCTGTGTCTTCTTTAGAAAGGGGGCATGATGGACATGTGTAAAACTACTTACCTGGTAACAGATTAGGGTGAGGTTTGATCCCTAATGATGGCACAACGTTTACTCCGATCAGCATAGACTTGGATGTTAATAATGGCTATTAGAGGCTTTAACTGATAAAAAAAAATGGGCTATTTAACTCACCAAATTGTCTCGTTAGTCTTAATTTTAATCCTTTAATGACATATTGTAGTAGGTTATATGGACTTTTGTTTCACCTTCTGCTGTACGATGTGCAAAAATAAATCCAACCTGGCAACCCTATACGTTTTGCGTAAAACATACTCATGCCATCTTGATCTGTTAGACCAAATAATTGTATCATTTATTCATTCGCATAAAACATTTGTATAAAGCATGCACACAGCTCATGAAAACTCATGATTTAACTTCTTCTTTCATGGTTTAAATTGAAGTCGTCATTTTTAATGTGCAGATTTTTCTGTCACAGAATAATATTTTATATGTTTCTAAATTTGTTACTTTGTAGCTTAATAACTATATTACAGACATTTTACTACTAAGCTTGATCATGAAGTGTATGTTTATTAGTTGAATACTGGTGGCTTTTTATATCACAGAGGTTTTATTTTAAATGTTCGTCAAATGCAGGAATAGCAACTTTGTGAGTAGTCAGAATACTGGCCCTCCTGATCCGGCCGTAGTGGTTTCATTGTCAACTCAGAACACATACCATTATGTGCTCAAAAGATTTCATGGCTTCAATAAATGTTGATAGATTTCTCGGCTACAATAAGGGGTGATAGATTTCATGGTTACAAAAAAGGGTGATAGATTTCATGGTTGTGATTAGAGGTAATAGATATTATGGCTACAAAAAGGGGTGATAGATTTCATGGCTACAATAATGGGTGATAGATTTCATGGCTGTGATTAGAGGTAATAGATATTATGGCTACAAAAAGGGGTGATAGATTTCATGGCTACAATAATGGGTGATAGATTTCATGGCTGTGATTAGAGGTAATAGATATTATGGCTACAATAAGGGCGTATAGATTTCATGGTTGCAATTAGGGGTGTTAGATTTCATAGCTTCAATAAGGTGCGATACACTTTATGACTACATTAATGGTTGACTTATTTCTTGGCCA